GTGAGTTTAGTATACAGTTGCTGTCATGCAGGTTCTCACACGCAACGGGAACACTTCGTGGTAGTAAAATAGATATTTCGCAAACAACAAAAAGACAACTCTTTCTCTTCCTTTCGAAGAACCGAGCTAATTACTTGCCGACCTCATCGAAAACCAAAACTCTGAAAAAGCCCTACACTAGTACGGGATTCAGCGCAGAGCAAAAAATAATCATGAGTCATTATACAATGCATGCAGTGTAGCTGTGAAAACTGGTGAATAAAGAATGCAGTAGGTTGGCAGCACGTGACCCGTCGTACCGCAGTACGCGACGGCGTCGCGGCTTAGAAATGAAAGGAAACACTGCGAGAAAAGACAAAACGAAAATACATGTCCCTTTGTCAAAACTTAGAAGAAACAAACAAAATGCGACCAAGAATCATTTTGAGAGTCAACGTCAATACTCTTGTGCAGTTGTGCAAATTCTTGTCTTGCACTGTGCAACGCAAGAAACAAACAACCTACTAAATAACTCGTGAACTAACTGTAGGCTAAATCACTACATGTACGCGAAATTGCGTTCCAAAATAAACTGAATTTCTCAGACATTTCATATTTCACATCCTGAGGGAAATATTGAATAAATAGTAAATACATCATAAAAAAACACATGGCCACGACGGCCTTCCCAACATACCCCCTCCTTGATACATCCGTATCAAAGAATGAGTAAAATGAGAAAAGAGATCGAACTGACTAAAGATGGCGATAAGTCCATCTAAAACGTGCGTACGGACTGTCAGCCTTTCACAACCGGACATAGCCGTACAACTGACCTGATTACCTGCTTGCCTCCGACCTGGAGCTTAGCGACACGCACTCTGCCGTCAGAACCAGGGTAGACCTCCAACACCCGTCCAAGAGGCCACCTGCCACGGGGGGGTGTCAGCTGACACAACGAGGACGATGTCACCGACACTGAGATCCGGGTACTCTTTCCACCACTTGGACATCCATGCTGTCACTCCAGAACACGACATTCTCCATTGCAATGGCGAGTGTCTTGGCTACGGACACACCAAGACGACATCCGATGACTGCTCCCATTAGCTCGAGTCGGGGGATGCTAACAGCTGATAACGGCGCCACTTTGGCTCGAGCCATGACGAATCTACTGGACCTCGTACCATCCTGGTACGCATGACAGAGATAAGCGACTGCTCCATATGCATCTTGCGAGGCATCGCAGAATACATGTAGCTGAGTCTCCACCACCTCTTCATCGCGTTGAAGACACCGGTGAACTCGGACATCCTGGAGTGCATCCATGTCGGCACACCACTTTTGCGCCTCTGCGCCTAGCTCTGGCAGCAGAGAGACGTCCCAGTCAGCACCTGCTAGCCACATCTTCTGGAACAACATCCGACCAACTATGGTGAATGGCAGTACGAATCCGATCGGATCAAACAATGTGGCTTGGTTCTTCAAGAACGCTTTCTTGGTGACAATGTCTGATGGCGGCTTGACATGAATCAGGAACTCGTCTTCCTCTGCTCGCCACTTAACTCCGAGAGTCTTGGTCGTCGACAGGATTCCATTAGCGAGGTCCACTTCCTTGGCTCGGTCCTCCTCGGGGACTTCGGCGAGCACCTCAACATTGTTGGAAATCCATTTTCGCACATGCATTCCAGCGAGACCCCACAGCGCCGTAAGCTCGTGGTACAGCTGAATCGCTAGCTCTGTTGACTTTGTCGAGTCCATTGAATCGTCCATGTACGTGGACTTCAACACGGTTTCTGCTGCCATAGGAAACTCCTCCTGGTTCCGCCGCGCATGCTCTTGCGAGACCAGTTGAGCTAAGAATGGAGATGCATTGATCCCGAACACCACTCTATTGTACTGGTAAACGGCCGGTTGGTCCTCCGTATCTTCTCGCCAAAGAAATCGATGGGACTGTCGGTCATCCTCTTCCAACTCGATTTGTAGATACATCTCTGCCACGTCGGCTACCAGTGCGTTTGGGTGTCGCCGAAACCGCAGGAGAACGTCGGTGAGGTCCCGTTGTAGTTTGGGCCCAGTGCTGATGTTAGCTGCTCCCGGCTAATGATGCCCCCTCACACCGGAACACAAGGGTATTATGATTGGATAATTAGAAGTATTCGATAAGAGTGTAAACAGAAGGAGAACAGGACAACGACAACTCAAGACTAGACTAGAACAGAACTGGAGCATGCGCTCTTCTATGTGAGTGCTCATTGCCAAGGGGAACGAGCGGGAAATACAAATAGTGAGTATTCAGGTCGTAGCATACATACACCTATTACACTGTGCCCCCCTAGCTAAAATTCACGTCCACGGGAATGAACGAAATACCTAGGAAACAACAAAAGAAAACAAACCAAATAATAAACTCAGTCCAGGACATAGTCAGCTAGTCGAGCAGGTGCAGTGCGGACACGGCCAGAACGACGCGGAACAGGAGAAGAAGTACGGACCGGATCAGACGACGGCGGCTGTAGCGGCGGAAAATCATCATTGGACAGCGTAATCGGGTCAGGACGAGAAGCAGTAACGGCAGGCGGTTGACAGTCGGGAGGACGGGAAACGGCTTCAGGCGGACGAACAAACTTGCCACTGGCAGCATCATATCTGGTGAAACACTCAGACAGAGCAGGATCAGCATACGGAGCAAGAAGACTCTGAGGCTTGTAACAATCCGGCAACGGTCCAGCGGCAGAGGCACCAGGAGGACGAACAAAAACGGCCGGAGGAAGAATCTCGGCAGCCGGAGGAACATCAGCAGCAAGTGGCATTTCATCAGCAGCTGACAACGGAACATCACGGGCAAGAGGCGGCGGACTCGGCGGAGGAGACGGGGCAGCATCTTGCGGCGGCGTTGGTGCCAGTGGCGGAGACTCACTGTGCACATGTGCTTCAGGTTCGGCTAGCAAGCGCGACAGACCATCAGCATTCAGATGTTGGCGACCTGGACGGTGGACGACCCGGAATTCATATTCGGATAAACAGTCAAGCCAACGTGCTTTCCGTCCGCGGGGTTCCTTCAGGTTCCGGAGTGCAGTCAACGCAGTATTGTCCGTCCTGGCAACAAATGGTCGTGCCAACAAGTAGTGCCTGAAATACTCCGCAAAATAGACCAGAGCAAGGGCCTCACGATCGCTAGCATCGTAGTTGCGCTCAGCTTTCGTCAGTACACGACTGCCGTACCCAATTGGTCGCTCAGTTCCATCCTGGATCTGGCTGAGGACTGCACCAATCGACACATTGCTCGCATCGGTGTCCAGAATGAATGCACCTGGTGAATCTTCAAACTGGGGGTACGCCATCACCGGCGCACTGGAAAGCGAACGCTTCAGAGCCTGGAACGCCGCTTCGCAAGCTTTCGACCACGCAAAGCGAGCATTCTTGCCTGTCAGAGCAGTCAGCGGAGCAGCACGCTGGGCGAACCCACGGATGAAGCGGCGATAATATCCAGCGAAGCCAAGGAACTCGCGGACAGCTGTGACAGATTTCGGAGTCTTCCAGTTCCTGACCGCGACGAGTTTGGCCTCATTCGGGGAGATGCCCTCCGCTGACACGCGGTGTCCTAGGAAAGTGACCTCCTCCTGGAAGAAGGAGCATTTCTTCAGATTGAACCGCAGTCCAGCGGACCGAACTCGCGCGAACACGGGCAGCAGAATCTGGAGTTGGCCAGACAGCGTTTCGCTGGCATTCAGGACATCATCAAAGAACACACGGCAGAATGGCTGGGCCGGTGTGTTACATAAGCCACTCAGGACTGCTTCCATTACGCGCTGAAATGTCGCTGGGCCATTCCTGCAGCCCATCGGCAGAACATTAAACTCAAACAAGCCCAGTGGCGTGGTAAATGCCGTCTTAGCCTTGTCGCTTCCTTCCATTGCTATTTGCCAGTATCCTGACGCTAAGTCAAGGGACGTGAAATACCGACAGCCAGACAGGGAATCAAGCATGTCATCCGCCCGGGGAATCGGGTAGGCGTCAGGTTCGGTGACAGAGTTCAACTTCCTGTAGTCGATACAGAGTCGAAGAGAGCCATCCTTCTTTGGCACCAATACTATGGGTGATGCCCACGGACTAATCGATTCTTGTATTATGCCTTGCTTTAACAGCGTATTCAGTAGATCTTGCAGAGCCTTCCGGCGGTGATATGGAATCCGCCTGGTAGGTTGTTTTATAGGGTTATTTTGTCCTGTGTTAATTTTATGAGGGAATATGTCACAGTAGCCATAGTCATCATCATGCAAGATAAATAAATCGTGGTTATCATGAAGTAGTTCAGTGAGCGTGCGAGACTGTTCTGTGGAGAGATGATTTTGTGCGTTGATATATTCATCGATGACTTTCTTGCGTTGCTCAGTTAGCGGGATCGGGTCGGGTGAAACTGAGGAAACCATAGCTTCAGTGTCGTCAATATGTTCACAATCTGTAGGAATTTGATGAAGTTCGGCAACATTGGTATTTTTATGAATGAGTATAGGATGATTTGCATGATTTTCAACAGCCACAACCACACGTGTTTGGTTAGGGCCAACAGTTACAAGACTAGGAGTCACTGCCACATCTGGATGCTTCGCCATAAAGGACTCCAATGGATCTGCCACGCAATCCATCGCAACCGTGCACACATCAACAGCTGCACAAGGCACCAAGACAACATGTCCTGCAGGTACCGACAACTCCATCTCAAACACCACACGAGATGAGTATACCACAGGGTCGGCCACACTTTCGGGCAGGTTGAGCCATGGGTTCAACAACCCGTGCAGACAATGAATCGTCAAGGGCAACACGAGAAGAATACGACGAAACAGGTACATCGTCGGAGCATGCATCAGAATGAGGAGTATGAGTATTACATGAGGGGGAAGTATTACGCGGAACAATACGATCATAGGGCGTACGTGACGGAGGACACCCGGAACCAGAAACATGCAACGGAACACACACATCGCCAAACATCACAACACCACGAGCAATATCTA